CGACAATGATATCTTTTTAACGGAGGGCTGCTGTTCATTTACTGCCCTCTTTTCTGCGTCTTTTAACCAAGCAACCACATCCGTTTATGTGCAAATGAGCTGAAGAACTTTTCTTTTTTTTTTTTTAACTACAAAAAAATATTCAATTTAGTTTTTTTAAGGATTTTGTTATTTTATTTATGCATTTTTAAGTGAATTTTCATTTACTGATTTGGTTTGTAATTTTCCATTTAGCATTATTTAACAATTAATTATGCATAATCGCATTTATGATTTCGAAATCGAAAAGGGAACAACGAATGCAAAAAAAAAACTTACCCTCTTAAATAGAGCAACAACAAATTTTGTGTTGACTAATTTTGACATTGAAATTTTTTTACTTATTGGTTGGTAGATTTGTTTATGTTAATTTTTATAAAGTGGAAATTAAAAAGTTTTCTTTTGCATCAGTAACAGAGAAAATACAGAAACAACAGAATCGTAAAACCGTCTCAATTTTGAGTAAATCGAATAACTGCTTATGAAGAAAATTAATTTTAAATAGATTTTCGAATGAATTTTTGTTCGATTCACATTTTCTTTCGATATTAAAAATTTTATATTTTTAAATTTCTACTACTACCTCTAAATCTATCCACTATACATTTCAAAATCATTGTATCATATCCATGTAGGTATTAGTAGTATGTGTGCGTTCATTTAATCGACAAATTTTCAATAATATTTTGCTTTGGCATTTCATTGTCATAAATCACTGCACTATGGGTGGCTGTCATAATTTGTCATAAGGCATGTTAACGCCCAACTTTATAACTTTAGCGTACAATAGTTTTTAATTTAAAGGGATTTTGAAGGATTGCATTGGTATCACTGTAATCTACTATATAAACGAGTACGAATGCTGCAATATTATGGTATCGGAAATTACAAAAAATAATTATTTCAAATACATAAAATGTTTTAAAAATACACAAAATTTGATTTATTGCTCTTGCCATGTAATTTTGTAGGAAATGAACAAAATATGTATAAATAACGGCTTTTTAATATTTGCGTATAAGAAATCAATTTAAGATTTTAAATCAAAAATTATATCGGTATTTACTTTTATAAATTTCACTGAGAAATTATTAAATACTCTTGATAATTATTAAAAGGCAAAGTTTTAGACACTATTTGGATTGGTATAATTATTAATATGTAAATGTCAAATCAGTCAGTATTATAAACTCCGCATCGCCTTATGTTTGGATGATGTTGGGAAGTATTGTTAACTTATTTTCAAAGCGATCTTTCACATTTCCTTTGAGAATCCAATACACACAGAGGTAAAAACAAGTAGGAAAGTATAGTCGGGCATGGCCGACCATATGATACCCTACACCACTGAGTATGTTAAAAATGTGGATTATTTTTAATAACAAAGCATTTAAGTTGTTTACCTTAATTCCGAAATATTTTAACAATTTGTTGAAAAAAGTGATTTTCTATGGGGGCAAGGGTAAATATGGGCCTATCCTTATAAATTTTGGTACATGGCTTTACGTTTACATTAGAGTTATGTATGCTGGATTTCATCGTGATACTAGTGTTTATTAGTGAATTATTGACCTTCAAGTCATTTTCTGAAGGGGACTTTGTATGGGGACTAGGGGCGAATAATTATAAACTCAAAAGCCCTTTTCGGGGAGTAGGGTTGTATGGGGGCTAGGTGAAATAATGGACCGATTTTAACCATTTTCAATAGGCTTCGTCGTTGGGCCGAAAAACACCTATGGTTCAAATTTCATCAAAATATCTTGAAAATTGTGACCTTGCGCACAAGTTTACAGATGGACAGATGGACATGGCTTAATCGACTCAGAAAGTAATTCTGAGTCGATCGGTATACTTTAAGGTGTAGGATGAATATTTTTGTCCGTTACAAACATCAGCACAAACGTATAATGCCCTCCCCACCATGGTGGTGTAGGGTATAAAGACATTTTAAAATTCTACACGCCTGGTACCAAATATTTTTTCAATAACATCCGTTGTCAAAGTATGTTCAGATAGTTGTCAAATCAACAACAAAATTTTAAAAATACAGCACGTAATCAAATCAACTAAAAATAATAGCGTGTTACCAAAGCGTCAATGCTATGTTGTCAAACAGAACGGTGCGTTGTCGAAATAACAACGATTCTTTGTCGAAATCACAGTGATGCATTGCCGAAATGACACAAACAGTTTGGTGGCAATTTTGAAGTGTTCTCATTTTTGGCCAATTTCTAAAATGCTATCGGTTATAGTTACAGAAATGGTTATTAATATGGTTTCAGCAGGATGGTGAATCATGTCACACAGCATATTAAACAATCGATCGTTTGTACATGAAGTTCGGTAACTGTGTTATCAGCCGTCTTGGCGATTTGACCCATTTCGACATTTCTTTTACCGTTAAAGATCGTTGATTTATGAATAATCCAGAAATTATCCGTATCCTTAAGGTTAATAACTTTCAAGGCGTTCGTAAGGTTGAAAGAGAAACAATGTGTTAGAAAAATGATAAGAAGTCAACCGATGCATCCATATGAATGACATCATTTTCATAAATAGTAGGGATATATGTTATTTATAATTGATAACTCACTGTTGTTGATTCAATGTTGTGAAAAACTATTTCACTTTGCCTTCAATCTGCACTAAGACTACCAAACCAAACAGAAGTTCAAACAGTGGTCTTAGTGTTAATCCCAGGAAACCTGAACTTGTTCTGTTTTCTAAAAGATACAAAATTTTCTATTTCCCGTTACCTTGTCCAAATGAACTGGAAATAACTATATCGGACAATATCTAGAAGTACTTTACGTGAACACCTGCCGTGTTGACATTATTTCACGGTGGTGCTTTACCAACCACTGGGTGAGCTGACTAGACGACTCGCCACTGCCCTTTTGTGTATCTTACACGAATGTAGCAATTTTTGTACATGGTTCTGCCGGTCCATGTACAAGCACTTTGCTCAAGTACTCGAACTATGTATCTAATCTCCTGTTTCTTAATTTCCGATATACAACCACCCAGATGGGCAACAGCACCTAGAAGCGTATTCGGTAGACCGAAATACGAATCCATTAAATAAGCCAAGGACTTTTTTTCTTACTCACAGAGAACACACTGTAGTAAATCTGATATGAACAGAGTAAGCCCTGAACATACCTGGGCATGGAAGGAATTCAATGGTACCTCTTGTGTAAGATCCCAGTAAAAAAGTGTGGAAAAAGATGTAGAATTTTCATCACAACTAGTAACCCGAAGTGCTTCAAATTCAGGTGAAAAACCTATGAATTTTACATTAGCGTGTCATTGGAGGGATGTTGTTCATTTCTGACAACTTTGAACTACATCTAATCTTATCTTTAGAAGCTGTAAAAATCCGACATTTGTATATCAAAAATAAACCACATTCTTCCAATGAAACGCTTATGTAAATTTCATCAAAATTTGAAGTACTTCGAATATGTTGTTTGTAGTGACTCTTCTACATCTCTTTTCTCGTTTTTAACTGTGTTTTAATTTGTAAGTATATGTTTGGTTTATAAAAGCGAAAAGTATGCAATCGCATTTTTAGATGTGATTAAGATGTCGTTTGTAAAGTATACCGCCATCTTTATCCTGCATCATATACACTTTACACCAATTCATTTCCAACGCTTAGTTCCACAGTCCTCCTTGTTCGGATATCTTTTGTCTCGGTAACCGCACCGAACTTAATGCTAATTATGCATCACTCTTTTAACCGACATTATCTTTCCGCGTACTCTCCCACTCTTCTTGCTGACAAGAGTCGATAGCGACTGACTTATTTCATCTGTCGAAGATCTGAAAACGTAATATCAGCGAGTGTCTTGTAAACGACATTAATACGCTAACACCAATGTTGGACATAGTCCAGAAAACTAGTCAAAATTTCCAGATACAAGATAAGAAAGAAATTATCACTGTAGATGAAGTAATTCAACAATTAACTAGTTACAACTGGTGAAGATTTTCGAACTTGAAAGTACTTCCTAGACATACGGACAATACGTGTGGTCAATTAATTTTTCCCTGAATACGGGTATCGGGAACAAGTTCACAATGGTGCTGAATACACTACTATCCCCGATAAGTACCTTCACTCTTTCCTGTACACGGTCGAGTAGCTCCAAAATAGGTCGTTTATGAAAATAAGAAATAGAGTGTGAAAAGAATGCAACCTTGCGCTACCTCCTGAAATAATCCTGAACTCGTTTGATGAGATCCCATATGTAACAACTCTTTTAGCGCTCGAAAGAATATATCTGTCATAGATACAGAAGCACTTTCGAGTTCAAGCAGTGGTTGTTCGCTTTCCGGAAAGCAAGAATTACTTGCGAATAACTCAGCTAAATATTTAGCTATATGAACCGGTTCGGGGCATGTTCGTCGTTTTTGAAAAGCATCGGAATTGAAGAACTTGTATTATCCTATACGCTTTTAACGATCGATCATAAGGTTTTACTGCCCCTAGGAGCAATAAGAAACTCGAAAGTGCTGCTCGTATAGAGCTTTTAGCACTATGGTTGAACTCAGGTCAGCGGGAGTTTTCGTAAATAAAGATTGAACGTAGAAGTTTCAGATATAATACCAATACTATCAAGAATTTAATTCATTAATATGTATGTTTATTCATAATAATTATCTACATTGAGCACCGGTCCATATCATACATAATACATACGAATATATTTTTAATTTCTGTATAAATGATGTCAACAACTCTTGGCAAATTATTAAGAAAATAATGCTAATTGCAAAAAAAGTATTAAAAACACAATTGTCAAGGTATTTTGGTTTTTGGCTTTTAAATAAAATTATTTCTTTTCAATTATAAATAAATTAATTTTATTATAGAGATTCGAATTGAAAAATACCAAAGACAATGACTGCAATGAAAATTGTACCTGTAAAAAGAAAACAACAACAGAAAGAAATATTTAAATATTTGCTTGATTTATATTTGTTCACTTTTCAATTTATTGTTTATGTAAATGTATTTTTTTATATGAATATTTACAATTTTGGTGTAGATTTTTTTCTTAAATGTTTAAATGTATAATACTAAAACACAAGACAAAATTAACAAAAGAAATTAAAAATTAAAAGAAATTCTTATAAAACTAACACAGTACGTACATACATAGATATTTATATGTGAAAATTAAAATGAAAAAAAAAATTAAATAGTAATTATTTTAGACTAATAAATAAATAATATTAATAGATACTACTACGTGCCAACGCTAGTGTACCCGTTACGGCCGTGGTGGCAGCCGTTAAATTAGCTGCCGCCGCTGCCATTAGTGCTGCCGCAGGTGTATTATTTACCGTATTAGGAGCGTTCGTGACACTTAAACTGCCGCTAAATTTCTCAAAACCACTTGTGTCGGAGGTAATCTTTTTACGTAGATCTGGCTTAGGACCGCTTAGGCACATTTTCTCCATTTGTTGGTGCTGTGAACGCACGGCAAAACGATTGACATGTACGGGTATGGGTACCACAATTTTTGTGCCACTTGCGCCATTGCGACCCAAACCATGTGAGGATAGACCAGCCTTAACGCGTTTCCATTTGGCGCGACGATTTTGAAACCAAATTTTTACCTAAAATTAATCATACAAAAAGAGTAAGAGGGATACAGTTAAAAACTAGTTTCTTATTTTATTAAACGTTAAAGATTTCGTCACTTACTTGTACTTCACTTAATTTCAGACTAGTGGCAATTTGACTTCTTTCGGTCAGACTTAAATATTTCTTCGCATGAAATTCTCTTTCTAATTCTAATAGTTGTTCCGATGTAAAGGCAGTTCTTCTCCGTCGGGATTTTGAATTTTGCCCACTGCCATTGCTGGAGTCTTTATTACCCGCCGAATTTCCATCATCATCGGAGCAGTCTTCGCTATCTGAGTGTGTGTAGGCTAAAAAGACAAAAATATTAAAGAATTTTTAGTTTTAATTTAGAAATTCTTCAAAATGGACTTTAGTATTGTACGTAGTTCGAAAGTTCCTACTAGATCCACTGGACACATATTTAAAAATTCCAATCTATTAATTTAATATTCGCTGTACATCAATTGAACATTTTCCCCGTCGGCTTTGTGATGATAATGAGAATCAAACCCGGAATTTTTGAAAAATTCCTGATTGGTATTTTGACCTATAGCAAAACAAATTTATTCTATTTCACACAAATCCCAAAATTAAATGAATATTTCGGCAAAAAAAATTTGACTTTTTCCGAGTTTATCTACCAAATAAATGTCTCAAATTGTATCCTTTCAAAGAGGAACCTAATAATTTGCATACTTTTTGACAAATTCAAATCTGGGATCAGGTCATAACGGTTTCATTGAGTTAAGAATAGACCCATTTCTTATTCGAAGTCAGAGGTATATTCGTACTTAGTTGGTTTTTAAATTGATATCCGAATAGATTTTTCTTAAGAAAGGGAACTTGGGATATAAATTCTGATGCATATAGTATCTGATTTTATGGATCAGAGATGTGGGTTTTAACCTGTTTTTGACTAGTAACCAACAAAACTAAGTTCTCCCTTTAAAATTCCATAATTGGTCGCTAATACGATTATGAGTAGTAAGTATTTGTATTTCAAGTCTTTTTGGAGACTAATACTTCTCAAACGATTTATACGAGTTAAGGTGATTTCTAGGAGATAACTTTCTATGATTGCTATATCCAAATGTGAGCTAATCAGTACAAAATATTAAAGTTATGTTTTTGATAAATTTCATATCATACTCATTTCGTAATTGTTGCAATAGAAGATAGTTACTTGGAAGATTATTTAAAGATATAAACATTTAAACTATAATCGGATACTCACAAACATTTTCAAATTTAACTAAAAATTTTTAATCTAAACAACAGGAAATATTTATCATAATAAAGGCGGCCAAAGCTCATTTATCCCTACACTTCATTATAATTTTCTTTCCCCAAAAAAAAACCGATTTGTAATGAACCATAGCAAATGATTAAAAAATACACTTGAACTTATTCAAGACAAAAATACATTTGAGATTTTTTTTGATTTCAATTTCAAAACAACTTGTTTAACTTAAAAAATTGATACGTTTCACTTGACATGAATTATTATTAAATAAAACAAAGCATTAAAATACGTACATAATTTCAAGCATTAATATGACGGACAGAAAGACTGTCAGACAGACATACATATAAAAAACAACTTAAATGAATTTTGGTTTAAATGTATCATTTACTTATTCTGTTTCGCACTTACACGGTTGACTTAATTTTAGAGTCAGAGATTTATATTCATTGTTGTCATCACACTAACCACTAAGAATTTGTATGTATTCCATAGTGGTATAAGGCAAACAACCCTTAATACAGACATTTCATGATTTGTTTAAAGTAATAAAGTTCTTTTGAACCATATTGCTTGGAAAAAGGCTCGAACGCAGTAGCTTTTCGTAAAATTACTGATTTCAAAATAAACTGTTATATGCTCATGGCACAGTGGCATAGAATTGTTATGGTTATGAACATAATCATGGCGCATTGAAATATTGGACCAACGTGCTACTTTAAGTATACCAATGGCATCAAAATTAGTACGATGATCTTCTCGACATTGCAACAGATTATAAGGTTTTAGTCCAAAATCAATGTTATGTGGTTAAACACGACAATAAAATGAATCAAATTAGTATCATAATGAGCGATATCTCGAAAACTATTAAACCGATTTCAAATATTTTTGCGGATTTGTATTCAGCGTATAGAAATTAGTAAAAACACTTGTTTTGCAACAGAAAATTATCCAAAATAATAGAGTTTGAAGCAATTTGTGGATAAGATAGAGAGTTTTGCATTCAGAATTTTTCCTTTGTTAAGATAGAGAAATTTACAAATTGCTATAAAATTGCCAAAAAATATTTTTTTCTTTTAAAATTTATGTCACTGATACGGGATAGTTTGATGAATATTTTGCCATCAAAATCTTATTTTCATGAAAATGACAGATAGAGACTATTGAATATAGTCCCTCGATATCTACTATTTAGAAACGACTCCAATTCGTTGTGTAGTATATTTCTAGGTTAGTCTGTTGTCTAATCTAATCTAATTTAATCTAATCTAATTTAACCTAACCTAATATATCTATGTATCTATCTATCTATCTATCTATCTATCTATCTATCTATCTATCTATCTATCTATCTATCTATCTATCTATCTATCTATCTATCTATCTATCTATCTATCTATCTATCTATCTATCTATCTATCTATCTATCTATCTATCTATCTATTATCTATCTATCTATCTATCTATCTATCTATCTATCTATCTATCTATCTATCTATCTATCTATCTATCTATCTATCTATCTATCTATCTATCTATCTATCTATCTATCTATCTATCTATCTATCTATCTATCTATCTATCTATCTATCTATCTATCTATCTATCTATCTATCTATCTATCTATCTATCTATCTATCTATCTATCTATCTATCTATCTATCTATCTATCTATCTATCTATCTATCTATCTATCTATCTATCTATCTATCTATCTATCTATCTATCTATCTATCTATCTATCTATCTATCTATCTATCTATCTATCTATCTATCTATCTATCTATCTATCTATCTATCTATCTATCTATCTATCTATCTATCTATCTATCTTATCTATCTATCTTTATCTATCTATCTATCTATCTATCTATCTATCTATCTATCTATCTATCTATCTATCTATCTATCTATCTATCTATCTATCTATCTATCTATCTATCTATCTATCTATCTATCTATCTATCTATCTATCTATCTATCTATCTATCTATCTATCTATCTATCTATCTATCTATCTATCTATCTATCTATCTATCTATCTATCTATCTATCTATCTATCTATCTATCATCTATCTATCTATCTATCTATCTATCTATCTATCTATCTATCTTATCTATCTATCTATCTACTATCTATCTATCTATCTATCTATCTATCTATCTATCTATCTATCTATCTATCTATCTATCTATCTATCTATCTATCTATCTATCTATCTATCTATCTATCTATCTATCTATCTATCTAATCTATCTATCTATCTATCTATCTATATATCATCTATCTATCTATCTATCTATCTATCTATCTATCTATCTATCTATCTATCTATCTATCTATCATCTATCTATCACAGGTTTATTTTAACAATATAAATATAGTTTCCATAACTTTATTTTATTTATACTTATTTTTCATATTGTTGGTGCGACTTTTTATAGATTGATTTTGGATTTAAAAAAATATTATGAAAAACTCGTAAAATTCCAAAATTATTAAAAAACCGATTTGTTTTAATATACATACATATCGAGGGACTATATTCAATAGTCTCTATCTGTCATTTTCATGAAAATAAGATTTTGATGGCAAAATATCCAGCAAACTATCCCGCATCAGTGACATAAATTTTAAAAGAAAAAAATATTTTTTGGCAATTTTATAGCAATTTGTAAATTTCTCTATCTTATAAAAAGAAAAATTCTGAATGCAAAACTCTCTATCTCATCCAAAAATTGCTTCAAACTCTATTATTTTGGATAATTTTCTGTTGCAAAACAAGTGTTTTTACTAATTTGGCAATACTGAACACAAATCCGCAAAAATTTTTGAAATCGGTTTAATAGTTTTCGAGATATCGCACATTATGATACTAATTTGATTAATTTTATCGCCGTGTTTAACCATATAACATTGATTTTGGACCAAAATCTTATAATCTGTTGCTTTTTCAACAATTTGGTTTCTATTATTTCATTAAATTGCATAAAATATAATATTTATTGATATTAAATCGAATAAAAAAATTATATTTCTATGAAAAACTCTCTATCTGAAGGCTGTAAAAAAATTATTTCGTAGAAAAAAGCTCTATCTGATATAAAGTTGTGAATAATTCTGCAAATAATGCAAAATTTTAAATTCTTTTTATATAACGATTTAGAATATGGTCTTAAAAATATATTGTAGAAGAAAAAATTCAAAAATCTTCACGAACTAGCTAAATAAACAGTTTATTTACTCTCCTGAAAACTTGTGTTATTTTAGATAGAGACTATTGAATATAGTCCCTCGATATGTATTTATTCTTGGGAATTTCTACAAATATTAGTCCAATGGCATAGTCTAAACTAAACTTCACAAATACTACATTACTTCAATCTTTTCAACCAACCACAACCATAAAATAGAAAATGTTTGCCCTAATTTTTTATAAAATATGCCACTGCGACGTCAAGTCGCTTCAATTGTGGTTTAAATAATGACAGTAGACAATGGTGCACGATTAAGTGTGTGTGTGGGGTGTATGGAGCCCCGGCGTAATGTCAGATATGAATATTTAATTTGTAACTACAATAACAACAACTACGACACCAAAAATATTAACATTCAATTTGATTTGGCTTTTAAATGTGTTTGTTGTTGGCATTACAACACTTCTATAAAAATAAAATTATGACGATGTTGATTGTTAATGTTTTTTTGTATTTTCTTTTGCTGGAAAAATCGCATTTATACCAATTTAAAGTGAATTTTTATGCTTATCAATGTTGTTATTGTTGCCAAGAATCCTGTTTATATGGAAAGCGAATGATATATTTATTATTGTCCGTTAACCCTCCCCAACCAATTTAATATTTATTATGAATGGACGTCAACGTCATCTTTTTACACACATTTTACATTTAATCAACATTCGTCATCGTAGTGTTTGCTCTAGCTGTTATTTGTATCCCCTTGAATGTTTAATTTTTTTGCTAAAATATGATTTTTAATTTTTACATTCATCTTAATTTTTTGTTTTCTTAAATCTGTTTAACCATTTGTCGCTGCTCAT